GGGGGGGGGGGGGGGGGGGTGATATCTTGGTATACCTTTTGATGGAGATTCTTCGTAGTTCATAGGCCTTTGACTGAGGTAAACTGTCAGTTTTCTAAACTCAAAATACTGTTAACTGCTAGTAATTCTTAGGGATAAAAAAATTTTGTAACCTGTTCCGGCATAGTTATATGCTGCATGGAAGAAAAACAAAATTTGCATATTTTTTTCCTGTTGCGAAAACTCTTTTTTTAAAAGGGCATTTTTTGACAATTGTTTTTTCAAGACTAAAATCTGTCTTTAGTTTTTAAAATAAAAAATCAAAACATCTGTTTAAGTTATTTTGATTTTTTATTAGAGTGTAATGAACATGTATTATCAATGTAAAAGTTCATAGGTTAATTAATTAAAAAATATTTTATATATAATTTTAAATAATTATTATAAAAGTCAATAAATTTATCATATATATTTGTAATTAGATGATAATACAGAAATTTATTCTTTCTATTTCCAGTTTTCTATCATTCATATTTTTTCTTTACACATTCTCCTGTTTTTATATTTTTACTAATCCTGCTCGCCTAAGAAGAAACGTCCATTAAACAATATTTTAGATTCTTCCCAATACTTGGACAATTTGTATTTGGCAAAGTCCAACATTTTTTAAAATAAAATCTGTAGACCATCACCGAATCGAGGGCATGGAATGCTATTTCAATACATCTATAATAATCATCTCATCAAAACCTTGTTCTATTGTATGTGTATTTTCAATTATTACTGTTTTGATGGTCTTCCTTCTAAGTTTCTGGAGAGAAGCGAGCCAACCGTAACCGTGTTCCAGCAAATTATATTAAATATCCAACGAAGAAGCAATAGTGGGTTTCAGCCATGCCAAGTGGCCCTGGACCCCTGGTGGACCTTCAGACCCAAACTCTTGGACCTCACATTAATTAGGTTGTCACTTGGACCCAAAAATAAATCTGTTCCAAGACGACAAAATTGTCCTTTTCTTTTAACTTTTAAATATTGATCAAACAAATAACTTCATATTTCAAGGCCATACTTAGATAGTGATACTTTTATTTGATTTTTTTTTTTTAATATTTACTCGTCCATTTGAATAGTTGCTTGACCTGTTTCTCGTTCCACGTGCTTCTACCCTAAATTTTTTATTCAATCTATATTCTAATCGATTTTAAAGAGACACTACCAAAATGAATAATGTATTATAGAGTTCATTTTTTTTGTGTACCTATACAATTCATTTAGTATTTTTTTTAGGTTAGCATGTTTTTAATGTGAAATATTCGCTGATTTTTCCGTAAAAAAAGTATTTACTGATTTTTGCCGGGCTAATTTCCACCAATATTACAGTCGCATGTTAAAATTAATTTCAAATCTCCAAAATTATTTTCAAAACCTTAAATGTTTGATTTAAACCCCATAATCGTTTTGGGTATTAAATGTAACCAAGTAGCCATCTCTAAATGAACATGAAAAATAATTTATTGCCGGCAGAATGAACTTAATTTAATTGAATTTTATGAAAAATATTTTACGATTATTAAAAAATATTCATTTTAGATTTTCTATACTCATAAATGGTTCTATATTAATTATTTCAAGTAATTTGCAGCATTGGGTTTTGATTAATTCAAGTCTAAATCCCTCAGTATTTGGAAACTATTAATTTTAAGTTGAGTGGGATAGATTTATTTATGAAAAATAAAGCTTTTCTTTTTCCTAATATCAATTTTTCATTGACAAAATTTTGAATCGAGTACCTTGTTTATAGAAAATTAAGTTTCCTATTCAAATCAGCAATTTTTATTCAGAACTTTTTGAACATTGATATAAAATTTGAAGTGATGCAGATATAATGAAAGTTCAATTGTTCCTCCAGAAAAATGAAATCACATTGACACTCACATATGAGAAAAACTATTTAAATAACTAAAATACTAATTAAATTCAGTCTATTGTGAGAAGTTTAAATAATTTGCACGAGACTTCAAATTTAAACTTTATTACTGTTTTATCATAAATAAAGAAAAGGGAAAAGCAAAGTTCTTCAGTAACATTTTTGATTCTTGATTGTCAGTGATGTCAATGTGGTTTCTGTAACTTTTTGATTGTCAGTGATGTCAATGTTTCATAATTTCAATTGTACTTACACAAGTGATTTAACATTTGACATGAACTTTAGCCGATTATCAATCATAATAGACACGACAATGTTTGGCCTAGAATACGGGGATTAAAAAAGAAGCTTCGATGAGAATGGTATAAATGTTTGGTTAAATGACTAAAACCGAACCTTTGCATAAAATCAGGATGTGATTGTATTTGTTGGTTAGCTTTGGTGGGTGCTAACGGGACTTGAGACTTGATTTGATAATTGGGCTTTTGGCTCGGAAAGTCTTGCTAGAAAGTGACCCACTTATCAAATTTCATGGTACAACAATAATAACTCGGAACATAACCAGATTACCAGAATTATTAGAAAATGATTGTCCCCAAATTGAGAAGCTCCTTCAACCATTACCGGCATGGTCTAATTCAAGTAAGCTGCACGGAATTATTAATAGACTATGATTCGTCTATTATCTATTACTTGTTTAATTGCATAAACAGTTTCCAACTTTCAGATTAAATTTAATTATTTAAATAACTTTAATTCAAATTTTAAAGTTCGACATTGAAAATTTATGAATCACTCATTTATATATGTCTGTCAAGTGATGAGAGAAAATCCAACACAACGTAGTAACAACTTAATAATATAGTAATAAGAAACAAAAATAATCTCTCCCAACTTGAAAGAATCAGTGAGAAACACAAACACAAACAGAAAAAGAGAAAAATAAAAATCATAAATGCAAATATAAATTTTTAATGTGAAAAACTCTATAATAAATGGTAAAATTTGTAAGTCGTCTAAACTTAAAAAATAGTTTCATTGTGATCAATAAATAGTACAAAAAAAGTTCTCACAAGTGTATAAATAGTGCACATAATTAGCCAAACAAATAAAACAATAATGAAATGAGATGAAACACCTCTAAAACAAAGTTGGTGATACTGGTCATTTTTTTCTCACTCTAGACCTTCTAGATGATCCAAATGTTGAAGACAAATAATCACTTCTAGTAAACTTTTTGTTTAAAAATTAGTTCAATTCAATGATGAATTAATCTTAATTTGGATGCAATTAAAAAATTACTGTTTGGTGAGTATGCAAATTGCACACCAATTTTCTCTCTTAGGTTCTCTCTCTATTTGTTGAAGTGGATTTTCATAATAAAGATTAAGTAAGGCACAATAGATTTACACATTTTGGTCTATTCCCTATATAAGAATGGAGTCTAATAAGAACATTTAATTTAATGATTCTATCATTAAAATTCAATGTTACTGTAAGTTATTGAGTGTAATAACTCAATCAAGAGTTATTCTTGGAGTAACTTGATGTACACCTTTTCTTTTATGAAATAAGTTTTAAATAATCTTATACTACTTGCATTTAGATTCTTAATTTGTTTAATTAATATAATCATGCCATTTTTTCTTTATATTTTTATTTTACATAAAATTATATATATACTTTTTATTTTTAATCAATATCATTAAATGTTTATAATAAATTTAAGTTAAAAATGCTTTAAAAAATGCAAATTTTTTTAAGTTGGATTAAATTTGAATTTTTTTATGTAAAATTAAAATGGCAAAGATGTTGAAAATTGTATAAAACATAATACTTTGATTCTTAAGTTTTGAAAGGAAGAGGGATTAACATGGTTTAATGGATTTAGTTCCCAAGATTTTAAAAACAAAAAAGAGATTCAGAATTTTAATTAAGAAAAGAAAATTTAATAAAGAGACTTGATGCTAGTAATGGAAAAAAAATTAAATGATTTTATTTTAATAATTAAAAAGTTGAGAGAGTAAATTCAAATAAAAATACATCATAGAAAATAAAAATATAATTAAACCTTAAAAGTATAATGAATCCTAAAAAAACTACTGAATCATAATGTATTGCGTGTTTCATAGTAATTTTTATCTTAAATTTGAAAAAATCATTTTAGAAAATAAAATAAATAATTTTAGTTGTTCATAAAAAATAACAACTAAATATTATATGTAAAATCAGAATAAATTATGAATGTATAGAATTATTAACTATTGATTTTTTCATCAACTAAGTGTTTGATTAGAATTATGGTATTGTGGTGACAAATAAATATATGTTTCTTTTTACATAATTTTAGTTATTCATGAAAAAAATATCAATTAATATTACACGTACATGAAAAATAAATTATGCATGTATTGAATTATTGACTATTGATTTTCTCGGTCTCACACACATAAATAGGGGATATATTTAGTGAGAGAGACTTATTTCGAAAATATCAAATTAAATGATTTAGATTTTAATTATTCTTTAAATATTTATATATATCTCCAAAATTCTATCACTTTTTAACATGTTTCTCAATTTACAAAGCATGATCACATTTCATTAATTTCTTCCTACACTCACCACCATTATCACATATGAGAATTTGAAAATTTTAATATTAATTATCTATGTCACTATTATCATTGTCATCTCTGTTATCATTATTGTTATCATCTCTATATGGATTGATGTAATTCCACGGTAAGATAATAATTTCTAATCATGTTTTTGAAAAAAAATGAAAATTTGTGATTTTAAGTACTTAAAAATAAATTTTATTAATATAATCATATTTTTATTTTTGATATTCATAATCTAATTGTGAAAAACGGATAACTACATTATTA